AAAGACTATGGAGATTTAAAATTAAATATAATACATAAATATCCCCCCCTCATGCCCTTCCAGCGTCCTCCACAACATAATACATAAATGGGTACTTAAAGGGAGATGACAGAGATGGTTTATCTATTTTTGAAGGATTGGAGATATAAATGTGCTGTCAATTTATAAAAGATGAAATAAACACATTAACAACAGCGTGGTCCTCAAGAACATCCTAAGAGCAGAACAAATGTCAATGATTTGCGGTAGTCATAGAAAAATACACTAAATTTACAAGGGCGGGCAATATGTGGGACATGTTTCCCTTTAAATTGTCTACCCCCAAGGAAACATTGTTTAAAGAATAGTGTTTTATTGGATCATCCTTTTTGTATTTCGAAAATTAATTGGAAATATTGTTGCTAAAGTAATAAAGGAATTCTTTATTCCTGTGGTTTGCCAGATTTTAAAAAAGAACTCATTATTTCATTCTTCTGTGTGATTTCTGTTATAAACTTGGAGTCAAGCAAGTTTGTTTACATTTTAAAGGCATCTAATTTTCTTCTATGCACTATTTAATGTAAATTTGGTTTACTCTCAACTTTTAAGTTTTCTACTGTAAAACTATGTCCATTGATATTCTATTAATGACCTTTGGTTTGAATGATCGGTTTGAGTCATCAGATGATAGATGTGTATGTGAATGCATGTGTGTGTGTGTGTGTGTGTGTGTGTGTGTGCATGAAAGAATGAATTCACTGGCACACAAAGAGCTTTATCTGGGTTGGTTAGTGAATGCTGTGAGGTTGTGTAATGATGTTGCAGTTCCTGATTTTCTGACATATATGGTGACCCACAGATACTTCCTGACTCTGCCAGAAGCATAATCCAGGCACTTTGAGACTAAAAAGAGTCGGCTCTCTGTATTACAACCTTATTCTTACCATCCCTGCATGTTCCTAATTATGCCCCTTGGAGCTGATTTTTAGATTGTCAACTCTGTTCAAGTTATGGCCCTTAAACTGCCATTGATTTATTCTGACTTTACCCACGGTCTTTTTTTTTTTTCTTTCTAACAAATGGGAAGGAAATGAAAAAATAGGAGATGAATTACTTGTATTTCTTCTTTTGTTTCTCTACAGAGTGTCACTCTTCTCCAGAAATTTTTTCAGCTGCTCAGTAGCTCAATAGCACAGAAAGTACTTTTAAAAGCAAATGGAATTTAAGAATTTAATGTTCTTTGTTTTTAGTCTTAGTGAAAACAATAGAGAATTTATTAATTTTAATGTCATTAAATAGTAGTGTTGTAATTTTAGCTCTCAAAAGAAATTTTATTGATTTAATCACAACAGTGGAAGTAACAAAATTATATTACAGAAAATTGGCAAAGTAAAATCACTCATAATCCTGTCACTTTAATTCAACCATTATTATCATTTTAACATTTTTCTTTCTAGTGTGGCTTCCTATGTAGATTTTTACATAGTTTTCACCATAGTACAATCATATTTTATATCCTGCTTTTTCACCTAACATAAAACAATTATATATTGCAGTGTACTCTTCATAACCAACATTGAAAATGCATGCAGAGTGTAGTCTTGTTAATGTAACATAATTTAATCACCCCCCATGATGGAACATTTTGATTCTTTTCTTATTTTCATTATACCCAATGAGGCTACAAATCTTTATATATATTATATATATATATATAAAATAACTTTTTCACATTTTTAATTGTTACATGGATTATCTCATTATTTTTGGTTCCCAGATGTGTATGAAAAGGCATAGACATTTTTGTGGTTTTTGATTCATATCGTCCAATTATTTCCAAAAGGATTGAATTTTTATAGCAATCTACAAGTGTTTTGCCTTTTTTGCCAATTCAGATATTCTCTCTCTTTCTATATATATATTAATATTTGCTTGTTTACCAGGTTAGAAGTGGCACTTTATTATTCCTTTATTTTTATAATTTATTACTAGAGAGTATTATGATTTCTCCATATATTTGCTTACTAGATGTGAGTTATTTGTTTATATCCTTTGGTTATTTATTTGATGCTTAATTTTCTTTTAGCAATTTTAGAAGTTATAATAGTGATATTAATACATTGTTTTTGTTTGTTAAAAATATTTTTGTTTGCTTACCTTATTCATTAATCAAAATTTATTTTTATTATATAAATGACATAAAGATGAACACATAAAGCTTTCTTTTTAGCATAGGATTTCTTCTGAAACAGATTTGTTCTCTGAAGTCTCAATGATACTATGGTATTCCTTACCACGTGTATATCTGGCAGCCTAAAATACTTTAGGTAATAGAGATACCTGACAATTTTCTAATTTTGCAGGAAAAGAGGAGCTAAGATTGTATCTAAGAGAGCTGATGATTTCAAAGAAAAGTTTCAACATAAACTTGGAAGAGTTTTGGATCCGTAAGTCAATGATTACCTTTAAATTGATAGCATCTTTGCATCAAGTTAAAAAAGTACTCTTGTGATAACTGTTGGTTTGTGTTCCATTAGATTCTATTAAATAAGAAAATCATTCTTTTTTTGTTAATCAGCGGAACTCTGTTAGTGTCTATAGAACTTGGGGTTCTGGGAAGGTGGTGACTTCTCCAAGCTGGAGAGGGCATTTGGAGAAAAGAGAGGGAGAATTTTGCATGAAGTTTTATTTTGGGGATATCAAAAATTTAACTTACTGTGCTTACGCTTTTCTCTGTCTTCCCAGTCACTCTCTCTCTTGCTCTTTATTTATACTTCAGTAATTTTGCTTTGAATGTGTTCTGTTTTTTCTTTGTGAATCTCGGCTACTGAAAGGCAGTGAAAGCATTCAGCCATTGTTAACGCAAGTTGAAGATCATACAAAAGATCTATTGGAGAACTTTTGTTTGATCTTCATAGTTTGGCTATAAGAAAAAATATAGGTCACTAAGAATATATGGCAAACATATTTTAAATTCCAGGGATGCCATGTGGTGGGTATTTTAACTAAAGGATTTGTTTTCTTTGATAGCATTGCAGAAACAAGGAATGTTCCCCCAGATCACACATTTGGAGCTTATCTCCGTCCTGAGGAATATGGTAAATATACAAACTTTCTCCTTAAAAAACAAACAAACACTGTGAGCTAGGCTGACGCCACAGCACTCTAGCCCGGGCAACACAGTGAGACTCTGTCTCAAACAAACAAACAAACAAACAAACAAAAAACAACAAAATCCCCACAGTTATGCAGTTTTCACCAGCTCCTTTCAATGCTTCTAATTTTAGAAGCTTAATATGTTGCAATAACATTAATGAGAAAAATATGTAGCACAGAAAGAAATATTTTTTTCAAATTATGTTTGAAGTTTAAAGCCCTTGTAATGAATACCTGAAGTGTAGTTTAAGGTTTTGAATTTTATTTAAGACATAAATATGGACTGTATTAAACAAGCCAAAGTGAATTTAGGCAGGTTTTTAAATGAATTCAAATATTGTCCTGGGGCCCTTGCTACTCAAAGTGTGGGCTGCAGTCTGCACCAGCTTTCTCTGAGAGCTTCTTAGAAATGCAGAGTCTCAGGCCTCACCCCAGACCTATTGAATCAGATACTGCATTTTATTAATATTCCCAGATGAATTGTAAGCACATTCATATTTGAAAAGTGCTGTATTCTACATAATTATTAATAAGACTCACTCTTTCCCTCCCAGCCCACCAATCAATCAATCAATCCATAAAGTGGTAAAAGAAACTTAATATAATTTTATCTTTATTTCTAGGCAATCTTAATAGCAGATGTCCAAAAGCAAACAATATGCTACAATTTATCAGGATTGGGCTGTATATCAGTGGTTTTCAACACCTGGGCTGCAGGCTACCTGTGTTAATATCATCCAGGGAGTTTATTATTAATACGTATGCAGTTTCCTGAGACCCATGCCCAGATATTAATTCATTAGGTTCTTAGGTACACTGAAGTTTAAGAACCACTATTAAAAATGTTTTAGAGAGGCCGGGTGTGGTGGCTCATGCCTGTAATCCTAGCTCTCTGGGAGGCCGAGGCGGGTGCATTGTTTGAGCTCAGGAGTTCGAAACCAGCCTGAGCAAGAGCGAGACACCCGTCTCTACTAAAATTAGAAAGAAATTAATTGGACAACTAAAAACATATAGAAAAAATTAGCCGGGCATGGTGGCACATGCCTGTAGTCCCAGCTACTCAGGAGGCTGAGGCAGGAGGATCCCTTGAGCCCAGGAGTCTGAGGTTGCTGTGAGCTAGGCTGACACCACGGCACTCTAGCCCGGGCAAAAGAGTGAGACTCTGTCTCAAAAAAAAAAAACAACAAAAAAACAACTATGTAAGTGTAAGCTTTGGTGCTGTATGGCGTAGCTGTGGAAGAGGAGTAAGTCCTCTCTGAACTATTTTTGGAATTCATGGATGGACCCGGATTAACTCTACTCTGAGTTCTGGCCTTTTATAGATGCCATGTCAACTAATGGCATATATTCTGTGGGAAGCTTTAGAGTTTGCCTGCTTCCCAGGGACATGCTGGGTCTGGATTTCTTTCCTACCCTTACATAGGGAAATAAAGGCAGCTGCACAAGGAACACCTCATCCCTAGGGTCTGGAGTTACCGATTACATTCAGATCGCTCCAGGAAGAGTTCAAGGTCTGTGCCCAGCTCCCAGAATGTACCAGAGCAGAGGCAAAGTGCAGGAGAATCCAGGGCAGGTGGACAGTGATGCATCATGGGAGTTAGTTGCAGGTAGAGTACAATTGTGGAGCCCACTCCATTTTTCTGATTGCCATGGTGTGGTAGCTAAGTCATGGGTCTCTCTTAGGACCAGAACTTATACTCTTGATTTCAGCTCTTTAGAAATGGCTCTTGAATATTTGCAAGTGATTTTATATCAGCTTCATAAATAGTCTCTCAGGCCACGCCAGAAGAAGGTACCGACATAGGTTTCACCTACCAGGCAGTTAAACTTGGTGGAGTTGTGGTGAGAAAACCATATAGAGTTGAAAAAAACAACCAGTCACATGATTATTTTTAGATGTTAATGGAGAAGAGAGGCCTCTAAAGATAAAAAATACTCATCCAAGAGCCATCTCACAGAATAAGGAAGACCTTCATTACATAAAACAGCCACACAAAGGGTTTATGTCTGGGGAAGGAGAAAAAGAGAGATTATGTTTATTTGTCCGAAATAAGCAGTTTTGAATTCCACTCCCAGAGCCTGTCTTGTGTCCTGCACGCTTTAGGATGGTCTGATAGTAGCTGACCCCATTTGATGGCCTTGGTCTGAGGTTCTTGCCCTGTCCCTGAAACCAGCACTAGTTGTGGGCTTCTCACCCATACTTGGGGGCTGTCTTTAGAAACAAGATTTTTATTAGCATGTACATGATTAGCTCCTGATTTTATAATAAATAAGCAACTTATAGGTTCTATGAATGCCTATGAAGAGACCCTTGACAGAGCCTAATATCATGCCTTACTCTGAACTGATTACGTGTAAATATTAGTTGCCTTGAACTGCAGCCAATGCTGCAATTTAAATTAATCCATCCAAAGTATCACAGTCAACTGCCAGCATGACCTTTCTCCAAGAAAGCTGAGAGTCCTGGCAGGAAGAGGGGTTATGTAGGCCAGAGGAAAATGAACAGAGGAAGAAGGTCTCCTCTGGTGACATCCACCAAGTCACTACATCTGAAGCAGCATGGTCAACTCTAGTTGGGTTCGTGGACTCTAAGTTCATGGAGCTGTGGACGGAGGTAGGCCTGCAGTGCCAGCAGTGGTTACAGGGGGCAGTGGGGCTGAGAAATGAGAACTAGGTGCAGACTGAAGACCAACCAGAAACTCATATTAGGAGGGAGTAGGGAATTTGAGCTTATTTATTTATTTATTTATTTTGAGACAGAGTCTCACCGTGTTGCCCGGGCTAGAGTGCCGTGGCGTCATCCTAGCTCACAG